TTTTTTTTTTTTTTTTTTTTAATTGAAAATGTAAAGTAGAATAGTCAAGTGGTTCAAGGGATCCGCAGGCAAGCATGTTGCCTTGTTAACATTGGAGTCTATAGAGCATTTGGAGTCTATAGAGCTTTCGGAGTCTATGTAGCATTTGGAGTCTATAGAGCTTTCGTAGTCTATGTAGCATTTGGAGTCACAGCTGAGAAAGCAGAGCTGCAGGCAAGCATGTTGGAGTCGAGAGCACTGCATTTCAGTGTCATGTCAGCAAGACAGCTTGTCACAAAGCCCTCGGTGCTGTGCTTCCCCTCTTCCTTTCAGAAATATTATGCGCTTGTAACACAGGGTTAGGTACTAGGTGCTCTTTCCTCGCCTGCTGAATCGGCGCTGGCGAGAAGGTTATGACTTGGCCGCTTCGTTTCCTGTCGATTGTGGTCAAACAAGTCAGTGAAACTAACGGCTGCGTTTTGCACTCCTTTGAAGGGGATGAGAAGGGGTACAGTTGCTGTTGTTGTTGGCCACACTGTTGCAGTCGAGCACAGCGTTGAATTACGGCCACATCTCCGGCACCGCATTTTGGTTAATTGCTCCGGCTTTGGGTGCAGGATGGCATCTTTGCCGACCTCAGGTTCTGCTCTCTTTACAGGTTAGGTTTCGCAGCGATACCCCCGCGCTCCCGTCGCCTCGCTCATCAGATCACCAAATTTGTTCTCCTCTCCTCCTTGATGAGGTTTTGAAATCAATGCCATCTGGTCGGGGACTGTGGGCTGAAAGTGTAGTGTAGGAGAAGGTGCGCACTGCGCACGGTATCACATGCACCGGGGTCTGTATGCGTGGATGTCGTCAATTGCACGATAGCCATGGGCAGTCGGAAAAACATACGGAATTTCGCTCCTGGTACTTTGAGATCAGCTCCGTTGCAGTGCTTTGCCGGCGTTTGAGGAAGTTGATAAATATACGGCAGATGTTCTCATATCGTCCCAGATGTTCCCATCTCTGATGTGGTCCCAGATAGTCCCATCTCTCTCATGTGGTCTCTCCAGGCGGTCCCATCTGTCATGTGGTCCCAGATGTTCCCATCTCTCATGTGGTCCTACATGGTCCCATTTCTCATGTGGTCCTGGGTGGTCCCATCTCTCACGTGGTCATGCACAGTTCCATGAACTTTCCGTCTCTCCTTGGCGGGCTATCAGATTGAGTTAGTCGCAAGGTTGTGCCGTTTGTTGTCTGCAGTTTTTCAATTTTGCACGATGGCCGCCTGCCGCCTACCTCGTGGTCGTGTGACTTGTCCTCGACGTGAAGCTGAAGGTATCCATGCACCCTGTGCAGTCTACATGCATGCTATCTACAAAGTATAGCACACACTATGTGCATAGCAAGCTCATGCAAAACCTATTCTGGACCTCATGGTCGTGTGACTTGTCCTCGACTTGAAGACGAAGGTATCCATTGTACCGTGCACATTCTACATGCATGCTGTCCACAAAGTATAGCACACGCTATGTGCATAGCAAGTTCATGCAGAACCTCGTCCGGGCTATGCGGGCTGGAAATGGACAATTAATAGCAGGTATAGTGATGGCCAATGTTATAGTGTCCTCCTTTCGAAGAAGTTGGCGAGCTCTTTGCGCGCCCATCTTTGCGAATCTGCCTTGAGAAGTACTACTCTTCTTCCCTCTAATACAACGTACGGTCATTATAGCTGTATTTCGACTGAAAGATGCCTCAGATACGGCTATACAAAGAAATGACCTTACGTTCTATTCGGGGGAAGAAGGTAGTGCATGTGGAAACCCGGCACTGAGAAGGAAATGGCAAAATAGAGAAAGGAAAAGGAGGAAGATGGCGGTGCACCAGTGTGAGAGCCCCTGATTCAAGAGGTGAAAGGGAGTTCACTGCAGGTCAGGGGCACAGAAGTGAAGCTCCTCAAAGTTTGCGAGGACCCACCCGGAGTCTGCAAAATATCTGATGAAATCATCTTCAAGTTTGCAGAGCACTTTGTTCCGCGAATGCAGATGTCAGCACACACACAGCCGGACTTGTGCGCCCGATTCCAGCGGAATCGATGGCAGATCCTGGAAGCTGGAAGATGTTTGCAGGGGAGGTTAGGTAACCGTGTAGCACCCAAGGGTGCACAGAGGGGTTTGGTCAGACGGCGAGTTTGGACCGATGACGACTTGAGGAGAAGCGAAGCGTTGTCGCTACCATACCGGTACTCGATGGTTCGTTGCGAAGACGTTGCACAATCCATCGACGTCAGCGCAACTGCCGAGGGATGTGCCTTTGAGTGCTGCTGACAGAGCTCCTTGGAACTTGCATCGTTGTGGGAGGAGGGGACAAAACCGCAGTCGATAAGGAATCGGCAGCATCAGTCTGGTGGTTGATGGAGCGGCACGAGTGACCCTCCGAAATGTGGACGAGGAAGTGAATGCGCTGGGTGGGGTGGTACGCGAGCCATTCTGGGAACCCCGAGGGATCTTTTTCCGAACACATAAATTCCCCTCAGCTTACCGCAGCAGCGCGTGGAGATCGATGGGGACGGGGAATTGTAGTCTCTTGAAGAGAGGTGCAACCCCGATTGTATACTGAACTCCTAGTTTTTACTCTTATATGTGGTATTCCATTCTTGTTTGACTCTTGGATTGAGATCTACAGACTCTTTTTTACCACATTGTAGAATATCCCTTTCTAGTTGTTGTTGTCTTTTTTTTTTTTTTTTTTTTTTTTTTTTTTTTTTTTTTTTTTTTTTT